CACACACACACACACACACACACACACACACACACACACACACACGTGGATGTACTGAACACTCCATGATGAAGTCCGGACTGTAACAATAAGTGAGACGTGATATATCCGGGTTACATAACGGACACACACACTATGTGGAGGTCACAGTGAGGAACAATACACACCAGACCTCAGCTTATTAAATTATTAAAAAATATCTGTATTTTAAGGACTGATTGGCTTGAGGAACGCAGTTCAGCAGTGAAGGTTCAGCGTAATGTACAGAATATAAAGTATTGTATAGAATATATACTAAACAGTCAGTGTGTATGTATATATATATATATATATATAATAAAGTATGAGGAGTAGAACATGTGCAGCAGTTACAGTAGTCAGTGCAGGTATTAGTATAAAGTAAATATAAATACATAGTGCAGGAAATGCTGATAGTAAGACATCGTAAACAGAATAAACAGCTGGAGCTTTGATAGGAATACTGTGGATACGCTTTTTGTTTTTTACTGAAAAGCATCTTGGGAGTTGTAGTTTACTTCTCTAATGTAGTTTTTATGCCCACAGGCTTGTAGCATTTGACAAAAAAACAACCAAAGAGTGAACTGTTGTGTGACACAGGTGTTTGTGTCAGAGCTGCTTTCTCTCTCCTCTCAGTCAGTCTCAGGTGATACACGTCCAGCTGTTTCTTCCGTTGTCATGATGACCACAGAAAACACACGCTGGGTGTGTGAACCTGAGACACACTGTGTGTGTGTGTGTTCAGTGTTTCAGGTGAAACTTTAATGTCTGACCTGCTTTCTGTCTGATGCTGTTCTCATTACATTTTCAGAAGCACTGATCAGATTGTTTTCAGTCCCCGACACAGACACCCGGGCATCGGGTATCTGTGTATTGATATCGTGATATGAGACTACTGTAGATATCAACTTAGATTTTGGATATTTTATTATGACGTAAGGGTTTTTGCTGGTTTCATAGGCTTCAATAGTGATGTCATTTTCTGAACTGTCTCCAGGCTGTCTTAGCTGGACCTTTATTTGCCTTTTACCCACTCGCTCATTATTTCCACATCACTGAGGATTATTATTTTGTAAATCTCTTTGTGTGAATATTTAATGATGGCACCAATGGTCAACTCTACATGTTTTTATCTAACACACATTCAAAGTTTCATTACTCCTCAATAACAGCTTCTAATGTTTGGTATAGCCCTAGAAATAAAAATAAAAAGCTAACTTACTTTACTCATAAAGTCAACTATATTTGATCATTCTTTTGACAGTCTTTGTTAGTTCTGGGACTCCACACCGTGGCGGTCCCCCACTGTTGAGGGTCTCCTGGAGAACCCTCCCCTTGGAGTGTTTGGTAACCGTGTGGTTCTCCTGCAGGGTTTTGTGTTCCTTCGTTCCCTCGTCGACCAGGCTCAGGTAGGAGATGTTGCTCCCACAATGCAGTGGGCCGCCTCCAGGTTGAGTGTAGATTGTGGTGCTGCTGTGTTTTTACATGTTTCTGTGTTTGAAGGTTGATCTATTGATGCAGTTATGTTCCAAAGTGCTGAACACTGATTAACAAAAATTACAAAAACAAAAATTCTCCTAATCAAGAGAATGTATCTGAAAAGCTTTAAAAAAAGCTTTAAAAAAAAAAAACAGACTACTGTCAAACTACTACAACTAGATTTTAGTTCATTAATTGATTTCATTAAAGATTTTGCACCATCAGACCTCACATTTTGGAATAGAACTGGTGTTTTTAGAGAAGTAGTCGTCAACGTCCTGCAGAAACATGGCGTCCTCCTCGCTGCTCCTGGTTCAGTGAGTAGTTTTAGTAGCTCCGCTGATCAGCGGTCGTTTGTTCAGCTTTTAGATTCACGTGCTGCCGTTTATTCAAATCTTCTTTAAAGGAATAGTTTAAGATTTTGGAGGAAATCTATTATTCTCTTTCGGTGTGAGAGCGAGATGTTCAGATGAATATCAGTCTCATGTCTGGTCTCACCCAGAATCACAGGACACATGTTTGAGTGAGGTTTCCTTACTGTAAGTTCTGCTTTCACTTCAGTTCCCCGTGAGGCCCAAGATTATATTTCAGACATTCAAAACCTAAAATGGCTCTGACTCGATCCACTCTGATCGTGGGTTGTTCTCATCCGGTTCTAGTTCAGGTTTCAATTAATTTCTTTAAATATAACATGAAACTTGAAGCTCGTGGTGCATTTATGTTCTGCAGAGAGGCTCCGAAATATCTGCTGTGTGAGAGGAGGCTGCTGAATGCTAACGAGCTGTGTGTGTGTGCGTGCAGGTGTGTCTCACAGCGTGTTGGTGTCAGAGATCATCTCTGTCAGAGAGGAAGAGGAGGAGAACAGTAGCGGAGGAAGAGACGATGGCAGCTGGAAAAAGATCAAAGAGAGAGAAGGAAAGGACTGCAGGCAGGCCTTCACAGGTAAACACACCTGGAAACACAGTAACTAAACATCTGGAAACAAACATCAAAACACACATAACACATCTGAAAATACAGTAACACATCTGGAAACACTCCATTAGATACACCTGGAAACATCTGGAAACACACTGACACAGCATCTGGAAACATGCCTTTACATGCGTCCGGAAACATACACGAAAATAAACTTGGAAACAACATCTTTAAAACATCTGGAAACACCCCTGTACATGAACCTGGAAACATACATGGAAACACCTGAAAACACTTCATGAAGCACATCTGTAAATAAAAGTAACACACCCGGAAAATACCTGAAAACATAACTGGCAACACACCTGTGTGAATCCTTCTGGATAAACACCTGTTTGATTACAATGACCAGTTGTGTGTGTCTGTTGTGTGTCAGTGTTGTACGTGGAGAGGAGTCAGCAGCACCGCTGGCGGTGTGCTGAGGTCACCTTCACCTGTCCAGAGGGGGCGCTGTGTCAACACTGGGTCAGCAGCATCAGAGAGCAGCTCGCCGCCATCGGTACGACGTCGCACCGACACACGCTCACCGACACACGTGATGGTTGCCAGGAACACCAGTGACATCATCTTTGTTATTCTTGTTGTTGTCGACAGCCAGCAGACCCAAACAGCTGCTGGTCTACATCAACCCGTACAGCGGGAAGCGGCAGGGAAAACACATCTACGAGCAGAAGGTCGCCCCGCTGTTCGCCCAGGCAGGCGTCTCCACGCAAGTCATCGGTGCGTCACGTATGACTCGCTTCCTGTTTTTGGCCTTCCCGTGTCAGGGATTATGCATCTAACTCTGTGTGTGTGTGTGTGTGTGTGTGTGTGTGTGTGTGTGTGTGTGTGT